TGCCTGGACACGTTTTGGGCCCGACCAGCACGCTGCTTAAAGCAGCTGGGAGCCAGGCCATGTGGAAACGCCCCTCCCATTCACTTCTCGCGGGCGTGGCTCATTTCGGCCTCTCGCGGGCTCCTTTTGGCCGTTGCCGGGTTGACGCTCCCGTCTCGCGTGCTACGCTAAAATTTCCTCCCTCCTCCCCGCTAGGGTTCACCTCTCTTATAACCACGGCTGCCGCTCACTCTTCCACTTCCTCCTCTCTGCTCCTCACTCCCTCTTACTCTCCACTCTCCTTGGTGCGCTTGCCTCATCCTCCGTCGTCCGGTAGTGCGTGGTGGCAGCGGGGTCGTAGACGAGCCTCGCGTGGCTCGCGTTGGTTGCTCCTCTCTATCTCGCCAGCGCACGGGTGCTGCTATTCGTCGTCGTCTTCTTCTTCCTCGAGACGAGTGGTGCTGCTGGTTGCTGTGTTTGTTTGCCTGGACGTGGGCCTGTGGTGGACGCTGCTTCGTCCTCCCAAGTCGTCGCCTCCTTCCTCTCCGGATCTGCTTCCTCCTCCCCAAGCCGCTGGCTTCTTTCATGAATGCTTCCTCTCCGTCCCCAAAGCAAGGTGAAATCTTGAAATGTTGCTTACCTTTGACCTGATTTCGGTGGTCAAAGTGCTTATAGCGATGTGAAGTGCCTACACGTGACCCGATTTCGGTGGTCTACATGCTCATAGCGTTGTTTTTCTCAGATTTATGGTTGCCTCATGGCAGATCTGTAAGTTCTTGGTTCCAATCCATGATATTTCCATGTTTTTGTTCCACTGTGATGATACATCTGAGTTAGGGTTTACTGTTTCACATGGTTTGAGATTGGGATCCGACTGTTGCTGGTTTATTTGGTCGATGATGTTGAGGTGGAGCCTCTGGGTGGCTGTGCTAGGCACATTGCAGCCGAGGCCATGAAGCCCTGTCCACTAGTTCCTTTTTATGTCTGCAATGTTGTGCATTTAGAGGCCAGTAAGGCATGCCTTAACCTGAAATCAAACTTTCATTCATGCATGTAGATGGATTTGCAGCAGCGGAGATCTGCCATGGCTTCATAGGCTGCTGCCATGGTAGTTGTCATGGTTGCCCTTGTTTCAGCCAAACTGAAAAGACGTAGAGAGGAGGATAAGCCCATTTGTTATGGCCCTAGGTTAGAAGCAGATGAGCACAGGGAGAAGAACCCTTCTCTTATTTACAACTCAACTGATACTGAGTGCATATCCATACTTAGGATGCATAGAGCACCTTTTTTTACACTCTACAGCTTGTTTAGGCAGAGGGGTTTAGTTCTGGACACAATTAATTCCTCAGTTGAGGAACCCATGTTTCTCCATGTGGTTGGACACAATCAGAGGTTTAGAGTTGTCCATCAGAGCTTTAGAAGATCTATAAATACAGTTAGCAGACACTTCCACCAGGTTCTATATACTGTTGGGGAACTAAGGGCTGACCTGATCCAACCACCAACTGGTTGAACAGATCCCAAAATCTTGGGTAGTCACAGGTGGAACCCTTTTTTCAAAGTAACTGTTGTCTACCTAGGTTTATATTGGGTTTAGGGTCTTATTTCTGTAAGAGTACTTATGTTTGATCATTACTCATATGACTGTATAGGTGCAATTGATGGCACCCATGTGTTGGCAAGGGTGCCCAGGCACATGCAGGGGCCCTTCAGGGGTAGGAAAAACAACTATACACAAAATGTGATGGCAGCAGTTGATTTTGATCTCAAGTTCATATATGTTCTGTCTAGGTGGGAGGGTTCTGCTCATGATGCATTGGTTCTAGCTGATGCCATAGAGAGAGATGGGGGTCTGAGTGTTCGTAAAGGTAACATCATTACCCATAGCCTAATTGTTCTTAAACCTTTATGTTTTGTCTTGTAAGCCAATCCACCACTGCCTTATAGGAAAATTCTATCTAGTGGATGCTGGTTATGTTTGTAGACCTGGGTTCCTGCCTCCTTACAGGGCTGTGAGGTACCACTTGTCTGAATATGGTCCTAGGCATAACCCTACTAATGCAAAGGAGCTGTACAACCTAAGGCAGAGCTCCCTTAGAGTGACCATTGAGAGGGCCTTTGATGCTTTGAAGAACCGCTTTCGAATCCTAGATAACAAGCCATTTCATAAATACAAGACACAAGTGAAGCTGGTTCAGGCCTGCTGCAGCTTACACAATTGGATCCAGGATTTGGGGTTAATCCAGTGGTCCCAATCAAGCAAAGTGTGGGTTGCAAACCCTGCTTCTTCTTCTTCTTCCACTGGTCCACCTGTCAATGCTTTGCAGACACAAGAGGTGCCTACCATGGCATTAGTTAGGGATGCAATCTCTAATGCCATGTGGAAATCTAGGGGGGGCTTCTAGGACTTAGCTGTGCATTTCATGTTCTGGTAGTCTGTAATAAATTAAGGCTGCCTTGTATGGAACTAATGCTGCATTGTTGGACTTGTGTAATATTTTCTTTGTGGACACCAGTTAAGACTATGTATTGATGTTGCAAATCTGTTGTTCTCTGCTATTATGTTATACATTGTGTTTCAGCAGCTTGCTTTTCAGGTCTGCAATTTGAAGTCAACCAAATAGAGGACCAGTTTAGCAACCTCATGCAACGAAAGTGTTTTTTTTTCCTTTGAGCTGAGGCATTTCTACTCTACTTCCTGTGATGTCTCTTCGACCGAGGCATTTAACTATACAACCTGTGATGTGATACAAATGGAATGCCCTACTATGGTGTATACTTCAATCTAATCACTGATGCTATAATGCTTTTAATTGCAGACCCAATGTGTGCCTGGTATGTTGTTTTCAAAGGCAGGAACCCAGGTGTGTACACAAGCTGGGCTAAATGCAGTGAGGAAGTATTGGGATACAAAGGAGCTGTGCATCGCAAGTACAGTTCATATGAGCAAGCAATTGCTGATTTCAACTCAACTATCAACTCAATTCCTTCTTCTAAACCTTCTACATCTGCTGCTACTACAGAAACTGCAGCAACAAGCACTTCTATGAGTTACAAAACTGTATGCATTATCTTCCTTTGTGCTGTGGTTTGTGTCACGTGGATGAAGCTGAACAAGTGCAACAGCTGTTAGTAGTGGTTATTGCTTTTATTAGTTAATTTAGCATTACTAAACTGTGCTTTGTGAAGTTGTAATCTCAGTGTAACTGTTCTAAACATGTGCTATTGGATTATCTGCTCTATGCCTTCATTGTGTGCAATTTTGTTGCCTCTGGTGCATGGGCGGGCTGTCCTGGCAACAAACACCATCCCAACTTGACAGTTGGGTGGTAGTTGGAGCCACTGTCACCCGACCCAGGCAAACAAACACAGTCCGCCTGAAACCTTGCCCAGTTGGCAAGAATGACCAAACAAGGCCATGTTGCACATGTTGGGCCTACCCCTTCCTACCCTAGCTAGGCTGGTCCATACAGGCTGGACACGTCCAGGCAAACAAACACACCCCCAAACAATACAGAAGCTCATTCCATCATCGGAGCCCGCGGTGCTGCCCGGGCGTGCTTGCGTGTGTGAGTTTTTTTTTTTTTGTCTTTCTTTTCCTTTTTTGTTCTTTAACAACACATATTTGTAATCCGTATAATGTATGTATACTTGTCTTCCTTCTCCTTTTTTCTTTTAACATATTCCCAATAATATATGTGTAAATGCATATATTATATATACACATATAGACAGAGGGACATATGTAGATTTGGCATGAGTTCAACTTGTTGATCTATTTAACATCTAATGGGACCTGGTTAATTTAAACAATCTGGTACTCATTTATACACACAAAAAAAAGGAAAGGCTTTCATCCAACGCATCTTTCCGCGCGCGGCTGTCTAACACTTGATCGGGTCCATCTTGGATTCTTGGTTTCCTCCGTCCCGTGAAATACGGAAACGGAATATGGAAACAGGAAAGAAAACGCCATCGATCTCCACTAGAATATGGAAATAGAAAAATAAACGCATGGTCACCCAACGATATTAAGTCTCTGAGATCCTTGCTCACGCGTTGACGTCCGATTCGAATCATCCTCCCAACGATATTAAGTCTCTGAGATCCTTGCTCACGCGTTGACGTCCGATTCGAATCATCCTCTACTTAGAGCTTATGCATTCATATCCTATCCGGTTCTGATACGAACAAATCCATGTACCCACGTCGATACGATTTTTATTATTTTCTGCAAATCCATCGCTGTTACCCCGTAGGTGTCAACGAGAAAAGCTGTGATAAAGAATTCAGCTAAAAATAGTAAGAATTCGCTGTTATTCAAAGTCTAAAAGTTTACAGTATCTGTTGCCTTTTTTCGAAGCGAGTGCACGTCATGGATGACGCACACGAACAGTGAACGTCTGATCCACGCACATGGTCACATGGACACAATCCTGACTTCCTGACGTTCCCACACCGGTCCAAATCAGATCACACGATAATAAATGAACCGAATTCTGACGTTCACAGAACGGAAGGGATACTCCTCCAAAGGAACTCCAGAATACTCTGTCACTCACCAGCAAAACCAATGGCTGGACGAGACGCGGACAAAGACCAGGAGCTGAAGCTGCTCGGCGTGTGGTCGAGCCCGTTCGTTATCAGGGCCCGCGTCGCGCTCAACCTCAAGGGCCTCTCCTACAGCTACGTCGAGGACGACCTCGACAGCAAGAGCGAGCTCCTCCTCGCCTCCAACCCCGTGCACAGGAAGGTGCCTGTGCTCCTCCACGACGGCAGGCCCGTCTGCGAGTCCCGGGTCATCGTGGAGTATGTCGACGAGGCCTTCCCGACCAGCGCCCCCCGCCTCCTCCCCGCCGACCCGTACCGCCGCGCCGTCGCTCGCTTCTGGGCCTCCTATGTCGATGACAAGGTACCGTGTCTTCCATGCACTTGCCCTGAAATTGCAATTGCAAATCAACTTAATTCAGATTTGGTACTGATTGACTAACCCCGGTAGCTGTGCGCGGCTTGCATTGCAGCTCTTCACCACCTGGATACCCGTATACATCGGCAGGACGAGCGAAGACAGACTCGAGGCGGCGAGGCAGGTCGTGGCCGTCCTGGAGAAGTTTGAGCAGGCGTTCGAGGAGTGCTCCGGGGGCAAGGCGTTCTTCGGCGGGGATGCTGCCGGCCTCGTGGACGTCGTGCTAGGCGGCTTCCTCGGGTGGCTGCGCGCGTCCCAGATGATGTGCGGCGTGAGGGTTATCGACCCCGCCAAGACGCCGCTCCTGGCGGCGTGGGCGGACCGGTTCGCCGCGCTCGACGGCGTCAGGGAGGTGATACCTGACGTGCAGAGGCTGCTGGAGTATAACAAGATGAGGCGAGCTCGCCATGGGCTACCATAGGTGCTGGGCCTTGGGCCATCTACCTGCCTGCATGAAACATGCATGTCTTCCGACATTTCAATTGAAAAGCAAGCGATTGCTTTTGTGGTAAATAAAGATGCCGCAAAATTTCTCTTTCGTCAGCTCTGCAATGTCGATTTGACAGGTACATACATTTGTGATGAAATATTCTAGAGCCGATCTATAGTTCGATGGCCTACCTCACATGCCTAGGCTAAAGGCCTGTTTGGAACAGATTCTAGCCGGATTCTGGTAAAAAAAAACAATGCGGCCCGAGTCCCCCAAATGCCACGTTTGATGCCGGGCTCTCTCCCTGTGATTCTCTCCACAGCGCTAATTGTACATGAACGCAGAAGCTGCAGGGAGAGAGCAGTGGGAAAAATCACTGCACCTTCTCCCTCTGCCTGCGTCGCCCTCCTAATGTCCGCCTCGGACCGCCTCTCCTTCCTTCATTCTCGCCATCCGTTCCGGCCTCGTGTCTGCTGGCGGCTGTGCTTCCTTGCCCTGCTCCCTCCATCCTTGTCACGTCGCGTTGTCGGCCCCTCCGCTGCATCCTCTTGGTCGACCGTCGCCCCTACCTCCTCATTGGTTAAGATCTGGGCAAGAAGCACCTCCAGTTGAGGGGTTGTCGTGCGCATGCCTCCTCACTAGCGACCGAGTAGGGAGGCATCTTCCTCCTCTTCGGTGTGCCCCTTTCTTTGTTCTACTTCCTCGTGGCGAATTGGGAGACGGCAACCCTCACCCCTCCTACGCAGATCCGGGTGAGCTGGCGACGGTTCATCGCCGCACATGCCCCCTCTTCCTCCTCTGCGCCGGAACCAGAGTAGGGAGGCACGGCCGATGCCCCCCTCTACCTCCTCATCACTGCTGCAATGGTGGTTCTTCTCCCTAGAACTGGGCGCGCCAAACAAGAAGCCTTTTCTCCCAGTGATTATTTTGGAAATCAGTGGTGAGATAAAGCAAACTTCAATTCGAAGCGTGGTGGAGATAAGTTGTCCCAAACGGGGCCTAAAGCCACTAAACAGCAACAAAAGCGCATGGTTGGAACCACTGCAAAAATGATTTTAAGAGATAGTCCCATTTATTTACAATAGATGCACTTCAAAACCATCTATGTCTCCTAAAATACCTAGATAACTTCAGAGGCAGTTGCTTTATTTTAGAACCATCTCTACAAAACTAAACAGATTTGCCTCTAAAAGTCGAAGCCCACTAGCCCATCACTATGGTTCATATACATGTGGGACACTCATTTTTTCCTTAACCATCTGTCTCACCCTCTCGCTCCTCTTTCTCCTCGGCTCTCTCATCTCTAGCATCGCAGCAGAGGCGGCATGCCGGGCAAGGGCTTGGCGACGGCGGCGCGATCGAGGGCCTGACAGTGGCATTGTGGTCGAGGGCCTAGTGGCGGCCTCTGCGGGGCTAATGGAGTGGCAACGGATATCCGTCTCTACCGACGACAACCTCTACATCCTCTTCGACGTTGACGGTACCCACCTCCTCTCCAATCCTCTGGACATGGCGAGATCCCCATCCACCACGATGAGATCTAGCATGGATGAAAATATCCCCTTCCTCCTCTCAACGAGATCAGGTGGCAATGGCTTTGGATCCGTCCCTCCTCCGCACTCAGATGTAATGGATTTGAGTGCTCTCCCACCACTAGAGCCTACTTGGAGTGCTGTCTTGCTCACCCTCATTGACATCACCCACACCCACCTCATCCCTACCGGCCCTGTTTCGATGAATCTATCCTCCCACTCTCTCGTTCAATTCGATTTGCTCCTTGTAGTGGATTCAATTCGAGTAGTATTAAAGTCGCTGATGAGATCTACATGGCGGGTTTGACGAATATGATGAAGTGTGAGGCTGGTGTCCGAGGTTGTCTCCAACAGGAAGAACTTTGGTGGGTTCGACATCAGTGGGCCTCCTGACAGGCTTGCTGTGCTCACCAGGCTCGCGATGGGCTCACTGTCGACGGGCTTTTTTTTGTTCTTCTGCCTGGATTTACATAGGTGGGCATGAACTGCCATCTCTTTTGTTTGCGATTAACAGTGACCACGAAGTCTGCTAAAAAAAAGTGACCATGAAGTAGAGGCGGGCCCCTGATATTGAGTTTTAATTACCTCTGAAAATAATGTGTTCTGTGGCAGTGATACGATAAGAAATCTTGTAAGAACATTCGTTTCTCTACTTCATCGAAACTAGCATTAAAAATTGATTTCTGGAAAAAGAAGATACGCAGTTATTTCAGAGCTCTGAGGAAGTTCACACCAAAATAATCATATTTATTGCAGAGCAGACGACTGGAACCACATAATCAGATGACAAAGTCAACCCAAGCATATTATGAACATTATTCGGTTGGAATTTGGATCATAGCTTTGAACATTACAGCCTGAACTCATTCTGAACTCGCTAACTTCGCAGCGGCGGCGGCAGGGGCACGAAACCTACTGATATACTGTACCGCCAAGTCCGCCTTGGTTACCGGCACCGCCTCCTTTGCTTCTACACTCCCTCCAAACCTCTCCGCCCACGCAGCCAAGAGCGGAGTCTTGCTCGCGTTAATGATCTCCAGGCCGTCAACCCTGCGCACCGCCTCGAACCAGAACAAGAAGGAGCCGAGCACGACGTCGACGTAGCCAATGGAGTCGCCGCCGAAGAAGGCGTTGCCGCCGGAGCACTTGGCAAAGGCCACTTCCATGTGCTCGATCGCGGCAAGCGTCTCCTTCACCTTCTCCGCCCTCTCCTCCTCCGCCTGGGCCGTCACCACGCCGTACCACGCCGGGAACAGCTGCGAGAAAGGCACGCACGGTGTGTTCACGTACGATTGTAGCTAGAGAACAGAGAAGGAATTAAACGCGCGTGCGTGAGTGCATGCATGTTTATACCTTGTCGCCGGCGAAGGCTGCCCAGAAGCGAGCGGTGGCGCGCTCGTAGGGGTCGGTTGGGAGGATTGACCGGCCGGCGAACAGCTCGTCGACATACTGCAGGATGACGAGTGACTCGCAGATGGGCTTGCCGTTGTGGATGAGCACGGGCACCTTCTTGTGCACCGGGTTGGACTTGAGCAGGAGCTCACTCTTGTTGTTTAGGTCCTCGTCGACGTACTCGTAACTCACTCCTTTCATGTCCAGCGCCATGCGCACGCTGACCACGAACGGGCTCAGCGGCAGGCCGAGGAGCTTAAGATCCTCCTTGCCCGCCATTGTTTTCTTCTCTCGATTTTTTCCTCTACTGGCTCTTGGCTTGTAGTACTAATACTAACTAGGGCCTGTTTAGTTCCACCAAATTATCAATTTTGGCACTATGTAAAAAGAAGATTCCTCGTCACGTTAAACTTACGGTACATGCATGGAGTACTAAATGTTGACGAAATAAAAAACTAATTACACAGTTTAGTTGTACTTTACGAGACGAACGTTTTGAGTCTAATTAGTCAATGTTTAGATAATTATTACCAAATAAAAACAAAAATATACTGTAGCTACAGTACCTTCACCCATTCAGCCGGCGCCGAATCAAGCACCAACTAAACGTGGCCCTAGCTAGTCCTATCTTGCTCCGAGTCTGTGCAAGACTAGCCTCACACAGTACGGGCGTCTAATCGTCTATATAGGCGTCACGCATGACGCATATAGTTGGTCATAGCTATACCCCGAAAAGGACAGGGGAGCATCGTGGTCAAATTAAGAAAGAACATTGCAGCACTACTTTTCGAAAACGAATCCAAAGGGGATGGTTACTTTTCTTAAGGTGTTTGTTTCTTCGGTCGTTTCTAAAATTCATGTCACATCGAATAATTAAGTACTAATAAAGAGTATTAAATATAGATTAATTATAAAACCAATTACATAAATGGAGGCTAATTTGCGAGACGATTTTTTAAGCCTAATTAATCTGTCATTAGCATATGTTTACTGTAGCACCACGTTGTCAAATCATGGACTAATTAGGCTTAAAAGATTCGTCTCGCAAATTAGTCGCAAGTTGTGTAATTAGTTTCATAATTAGTCTATATTTAATACTCCATGCATGTGTCTAAACATTCGATGTGACAGGAATTTTAGGAACGCAGGTAGAAACCAAAGTTTTAGAATGAACAAGGCGTGGCTGCTATGTGATTGACCGACGACCATGCTGGCGGCACCGATCAACACTACGCCAGAAAACAACAAAGACACACATCCACTAGAGACTGTCGTCTGCAACCGTCACAAAAAAAATACTACATACAGGTGATACAAAGAGCCGTCTCTGAAATATTAGTCCGGAGCCGCACATCCGAATACCCAGCTGTGATAACACAATATTGGAGACGCATCTTCACGTAAGCCGTCTCTAAGGTATTAGCGACATGTGTTGTCGAAGCCCGTCTGTTCTGTAAATTAGATCAGAGATGGTTTATGATTATGAGATGCATTCTTTTCATTACCTGTCTGCTCTAAAATGCATATCAGAGACGGCTAGTAAGTCAGAGACGGTTTTGGTTGTAGCCCGTCTTTTTCCTGAAAAACATCGGTGACGGTGTGGGATATAAACCGTCAGTGTCATATCAAAGATGGCTCTCTCGTGCTAGACGATATCATCCCTAAAAAAGAAACCGACTCATGATCTCTCGCGCGGTTAATTAGGTGTACTGCTGCTCACTGGATCGGGGTCGACGAGCTCTAGCTATTTTGATTCCCTATCGACCTAGCTAGCTAGCAGCTATAGCCTAGATATATTGCGCGCGGGGGGCGCACACACGGGGCTGGCAGCGGCGCGCGGCGCTGAAAGGTCCTAATGGCTAGAGAGGGGTGAATAGCCTATTAAAAATTTCTACAACAACACTTAAACCAAGTGGTTAGACAATTATGAGACGAAGCAAGTGTTGCGCTAGCCTACTCAAAATGCAAGTCTCCTATCCACAATTCTAGTTGCTATGATCTCTATTTCACACAAGAGGCTAAGTCACTACTTTCTAAGTTAGTGAGCTCTCAAAGACTAACTAAAGAGCCTCACTAACCAAACTAGACAAGACACAAACTAGCTCTCAAAACTAGTTACACTAAAGAGATTAGCTATACTAGGAATGTAAATACACAAGTGAGGTAGTGCGTTATACCGCCGTGGCAAGAGATATACAATCAATCACAAGAGAATCCCGGAGACAATGACGACACAATGATTTATTCCCGAGGTTCACTTGCTTGCCGGCAAGCTACGTCCTCGTTGTAGCGATTCACCCACTTGGAGGTTCACGCGCTAATAGGCATCACACGCCTAACCCGCAGTCAGGTGCCACACAACCAACACATGATGGGGATCCACAAGCTACGAGCAATCCATTAGAGTACCTTTTGGGTCTCTGCAGGGAAAAGGTCAAGAACCCCTCATAATCACCACGATCGGAGCCGGAGACAATCACTTTCCTCCACTCGACGATCCTCGCTGCACCAAGCCATCTAGGTGGCGGCAACCACCAAGAGTAACAAGCGAAATCCACAGCGAAACACGATTACCGAGTGCCTCTAGATGCAATCACTCAAAGAAATGCACTTGGATACACTCCAATCTCACCAAATGATGAATCAATCAAGCAAGATGCGTGAGAGAGGAATGACTAGGCTTACTAGGGTGCATTCTCAATAGAAATGGCCAAGAGAGTGAGCAAGAGCGAGCCACATGCCTTAAATAGGGAACCCCAACGAATAGAGTTGTTGACACCTAGACTGGGCAGATTTAGGGGTGATCGGACGCACGCTCACCAGTGTCCGGTCGTTGGATTTCTGCCACACGTCCCTCGCTTGAATGTCAGCCGCGTGATCCCAATGGCTCTCTGTTGCTCGCGCATCACTTAAGTGGCGACCAGACGCACGACCGCGATGACAGGATGCGCCGCTGCCGTGTTAGGTTAGGCACGCGCCCGTGCCCCTGAAGCACAAGATCGGACGCACCGCTCGAACACCTGACACACCCCCGACCAGCGTCAGATCACTTCCAGTAAGGTTCCAGAGCCACAAAAACACAACCAGACGTGTCCGCTCCACCATGGCCAGACGTAGGCAGAGTCCGGTCCCTTCTGTCCTCGCACAATACGCTTATGTCAGCGTACGACACCTCTGATTGGACACAGGGCCTGTGTGTCCAGTCCTCTCCTCGTGCCAGCGTCTGGTCATAGAACGACGTCGCGCCCTTCTCTGCCTTGATGACCAGACTCACAAGACCAGCGTCCGATCACTACATGGACAGAGTCCGGTCGATCAAAAACTCCTCCTTTTGATCTCCATCTTCTCCACCCTTGCTCAAATGTGCCAACCACCAAGTGTATCACCTTGTGCACGTGTGTTAGCATATCTTCACAAGCATTTTGAAGGGTGTTAGCACTCACTAAAATCTAAATGCATATGCAATGAGTTAGAACATCTAGTGACACTTTGATAACCGCATTTCACGACAAGTTTTACCCCCCCCCCCCTTAATAGTACGGCGATCTATCCTAAATGTGATCACACTCACTAAGTGTCTTGATCACTAAAACAAAATGGCCCTATAGATATCACCTTTCCCTTGAGCCCATTTTGTTTTTCTCTTTCTTCTTTTCCAAGTCTGAAGCTTGATCATCATCACATGTCCAACACCATCACCTTGGACTTCAATTGCTCCACCACTTGGATTGGTACTAACCTATCTTATATACACTTTAGAGCCAAAGGTTAGCACCTAGGGTTTCATTAGTTCACCAAAACCAAACTAGAGCTTTCAGGCACGCGGGGCGGACACGCGGAGCTAGCTGGCTAGGTCTCCAACCGGCCATCGGCTGTGGGTCGCCTGCAACGTTGATCGATCGGGCTTATTTAGGTACCCCTGGTTACAACTCTATCTCTTGCTGAAATGCATTCGATCTACTGTTTGTCAGCACTCTAGCTCTTGCAGATCGATAATTTGTTCCCCTTCTCTAGTAGGTCTGATATCCTAATTAAGAATCTGCTATAATATCTGATCGCTCTTGATCGGTCGACGATCTTCGACGTCTTTCTTCATGTTCATAACAATAATTAACTACTTGTATATATAGTTAATAGATTAAGAATACGTATGCAAGTACTGACACATGTTTTATATATATTCAACATTTAATTTTTGTTGTAGATGGATGACCGTACATGGATGCATCTGAAGAACCATACCTGTGATCAGTATTTGGAGGGTCTCCAGTCATTCATTAGTGCAGCAGTGGTGAATATGTTGACTCACTACAATTCTGCTACGTGGTGTCCATGCAAAGATTGTATGAATAAGAAGAAATACTCCAAATCATGTACGGTCCATGCACACTTGATCATTCGTGGTTTCATGGATGGCTATCGATGTTGGAACAAGCATGGCGAGGAAGGCGTTAACGATCAAGTCCTGCAGGACAGCCATATGGACGACAGGTCTTGCCGTACATATGGACTCTTTGGCCATACAGAGGATACATGGTACAGAAGGTAAAAGATGATGGCTTGTCTATGGGTATTATGGACCCCTCGATGTTCTTGAAATTCAAGATTTGTTCCAATGAATCGTCTGTTGTGGATTATGTGAAAAGCGTGCTTAATCATTATGCAAAGGAGCCGGATAGCCTTATAATGTTTCGCCACAATACTGGAGATCACTGGTTACTTGTGGTAAACTAGTAATCATCTCAAAGTGGAACAAGGTGCTTTACCTTGATTCTGACAGATCAAAACAACGGGACCACACGTTGTTGAAAACAGTGATTAAACAGTAAGTTTCTCTTGATTTGCATTTTGGATATATAAGACCAGTGTGCATACTGACCGCATGGTCACGTTACACGATTGTAGGGCTTTTTGGTCCTTCAAATTACAAAAATAAGCCAGCTAATAAGGGTGCACTTTCACATGCCACTAAATTTGCGGTATGAAATTTTGTTGTGTTTAAAGTTAATTCATTTTGAATTGGTACCAGTATGCACCACTGATGTTTTTCATGCTTAATTTTTTGCAAGTGCCACCGGCAACCCAACGACCACACTTGTGGCTTCTACACTACACATCACATGACGTTAGCATTGGCGGCTGCAACTTGTGAAGATCCTTCGGTATAAACTGCTTGTGCGAACCCTGGAGCTAGAAATGGCTCCTCTTGGTGCTGATTTATTGTTTGTCTTATCTAACAGGCTGTGTTTTATATGCAAGGATTTTGAGGTGTCAACCAC